GTTATTACATAATGACGTTATTACATAATTACGTTATTACATTTTCGTTGAAAGAAACTTTTTTTTTTGATTTTGATTATCTTGCGTCAGATTATAACTCACGCACGTCAGATGACCAATTGGCAGGTGACGTGCATTACCTGGAAATCGGCATCTGATGTGCGTCAGATTAGATCCGACGCAAGAATCGATCTGAGGCACAACATTAATAATATATTCAAGTGATTTAATGAAATGGAATCTTGTCTATAATATTTAAGCATAATGTTTTGAATAAATTCTTCTTTAATTGTTGTTGCAATGTCTTTTGCACATCTCCAAAGAGTTGTTCGAGTATATTGATCTATAGGTTTAATTCTATATTGCTTGGCTTGAAATTCTCTAATTATTTGGAGTTTTTGAAGCTGTAATCTGAATAATAAAGGCCTAGATAAACCAAATTTTTTATTTAAATTATTATTTATAGCTTTTTTATAATTTGTTGCAGCTCTGCTAGCTAAAACATTTGATTTAATTTTAAATTCAAAAGAAGCACCATATAAAATTTGAAATTCTGGCTTTCTATTTATATAATTGATCTTACATTGGACCGTTTTCTGATTTTTACCACGTCTCCAAGTAGTTTTTATAAAATAATTATTAGGAATTGGGTATTTTTTAGGAGGCAAAGTATAGTGAAGTTCAGAGACATGTAGATAAAATCCCTCAGCCTCTATAAAGTAATTAAATAATCATTATATAGTGTTATTCTTTTTTTCTTGATAAGTAATTGTAGATGTTTGGAGATAATCACCTAACTCAAAAGTTTTAATTTCTGGTTTATTTGAGTGATTTGATATCATGAACAAAATCTTGAATGATTTGAATTTAGATATTCTCAAAATTTTGTAAGCAATTATTTAAAGAACACATATGTTAGGATATAAAGTATTCTGGGTAATAATAAAATTAGAAGTTCAAAATCTATCTTTTGTTGTGTTTTTAAATTAGTATTAGATCATTAATGTTTTTGATCACACTAAACTCTTAATAATCAAGTATTTTGACTTATGCAACTTTAGATATTTGAACAATAGCAAGTTTTTAAAATTGAATAAGTTTGAATATTCTGCTCTATTTTGTATATAATTATATAAGATATTAACTTTAATAATCAAACTCGCACTATGAGTTTTAGTATTATCAAATTATAATCAATATATATATATATATATTTTTTTTTAGTAACGATCACTATTGTTCAAGGTGTTAATTGTCAAGTGGGTATATGAAACTTGATTCAATCTTTGAATTTATAGCTATTCTCATAAATTTTGGACATCTACGTAGTAAAAAATTGACCGAATAATTGATGATTCGATAAGTTTTTATTTTGATTTTGAGTGTGATTAGTATATACAATAATTATTTTTTAATACATAATAATATAATTCTGACCACTACTGCAATTTTAATATATTTAGCATTAAGTTTTCGCTTAAATGTATATTCAGTGTGTTTAGTCTAGTCTATATAAAAATTTATAGCGAGGATTGTTCTTGTTAACCAAATGATTCTAACAAATAATCTAAAAAAGTTCTGAACATAAATAAGCTTTCATAATATTACTATTGTTTGGAAGAGCTTTTATACTATTGACACAATTCAGCTTCAATAGTGAACTTATATGTTCTTTGTATTAGAACCAAGATAATAAAACTAAATACTATAATCAGTTATAGTAAAAAACTTGTAGATATGAGATTACATAATTAATTTGGAGCACTTAATTATATATCGGAAATCGATTAATTAAATCAGATCACTATGATACAATTAATTTATAGCATTGGTGATATAATTAATTTCACAGATATTAATTCCTTGAAACTGATAACATATATGATGTAAATAATTTATAATACTATCTGGGTAATCACGATATAATTAATTAGTAATTAATTAATAATATCAGGTTTAATAAGTGTGAGAGAACAAGGTAATAATATAATAATGAATAATTTAAACCAAAATATATAATAAATTAATAATAAATGTCACTTAAATTTATAACAAAACAACTAAAAACTATTTATCAACTCTCCCTGACGATTACTCATACCAAACATTTGACTAACAAAAACAGAAAACTTGTTAGAGAAAGTAGAAGAGACAACTACAAGTAACGGTTTTTACAGAGATCAAGGTTTCCATTATTGTTCTCTTCT